GCGTAACATCTTGGATTTTTTTTTGCTGTGGGCAAGCACATAGTCGATTTCCTTTCCTATCAGACCGTTCGTTGGCATCCATGTGCAACTTCTTTTTATTCTTTTTAAACAATGAGTTCGTGTTATAAAGGGTGTTCCAATAAGAAGTTCCGGTTTTGAATTGAGCACCATTTATCATGATTTAACATTAAAAAAACGCCGTCGTTCCTTAGTAGACACCAAGAGGTTAAATAAGATGGAGTGGCTCATTACACCACAACAAATTCTCTTTGTGAAAAATTATTATCAAAGAGGTGGAAGTTTTTCAGCCACAGTTCGCAGAATGCGTACCACTATGGGCCATCGGAATGCTCCAACTGAAGCCACTGTGAGAAAATTAATGAAGAAATTTCAGCAAACTGGGTCTGTTAATGAAGTGAAATAGAAAGACGCGTTCGTCCTGGTCGCTCGACTGAAAATATTGCAACAGTACGTGCCAATGTCGAGGAAAGCCCAACCACATCAATTCGGCATAGAGCTCCGGAAATTGGTGTTTCCACAACCACTGTGCATCGAATGTTAACAAAAGATTTGAAGCTTTGTACGTACAAAGTTGAATTGGCTCCAGAGCTAAAGCCGGAAGTCCATGGGCAACGAAGAACTGTTGACAGGTAAATAGTTAGAGTAATGTAGGCATCTCGATTTGTAATAGTTTTGAAGCATTTGACAAGATGTGCAATTTTCTTGCACATGCAGAAACAAATCTGTATATGGTGCTCTCCTGCACGGCAATTGCTATGGAAAGTCGAAAGCTACAAGCAATTCCAACAAATCAAGTAGGTAATGCGTAACCCTTTAAAAACTGCTCCAGTATAAAGGAGAAACAAATCACAATTTGTCACATTGAGAGGTTATAGGAATTAGAAGCGAAACGTTGAGCATTGACCAATTAGCTAATCAGGAAGTGTATGAGTATGATAGACCCTGTAACTTTAGTATTTCATCAAAAGTATGAGTTGATGAATAAAATCAATTAAAAGTTGATTTACCTGAACCTATTCAAATACATCTGATAGCAAACGTACCTAAAGCAAAAGGACCTGAAAAAATATACTCAAACAAAGCATCGTAACAAGTAAAACAGTGAAAGCACTCAAGTTCATAGCGTTCCGATGAAATACTCATAAAACTTCGAAATAAAACGGCTTTACCCGACTTTATAAAAGATGTAAAGTTGGTGTTTTATTGGGTAGGCTTTTCTTTTAATAGCCGCTGATAAACGTTTATAATTATTTGGGAGATAGGGCGGTTATTTATGCTAATAAGACATTCCACTGGTGCCTCCGCACTCCTCAGGTAGGGAAGTAAGATGGCGCTTTGCCTTGGCTAATGTTACATCGCTGGTAGTTACATTGTTTGAGAATGGCATCAGGCTGAAAGTCGGTATGGCCGAAAGGACATTACCGATTAATTGCCTACTTAGGGAAAGTGACAAGATATTCTTGAAACATGATATTCTAAGAAACGCGTCTATCAATATTTCACTCAACTATATTCGGATTTGGCTCTTTCCCACATTATATGTACCTATAGGATGGTTGATGGTGTAGATGAGAATGCTGTTTCCTTCATTTAAGGAGTCTTCGCATTTTCAGTAAATCTAACCGGTGTTTTAAGCATCGCTGCTTCTAACGCAATTTTCCCACGTAAATTAATTTGGTCGCACGCGTCTCAGAAAAGATCTGCAAGTAATTATAACTACTATTGTATTCGAAGAACCAGATTAAGCACAGAAGTATTAAGCTGTTCATGGTCGAGTTGTTACTCGTATGCTGCCGAACTGTTCGGTTTTCTATGCTGACAGATAAGAATTTGTTTTTAGAAGCATTTATAAAAGCTTTGCGTGCCTACTGATTGTGTGGCAGAATCTGCAGCAGACAAATTAACATTCGATAATTTGATAGAAACAAGTTATAAAGCAGTAAAGTCTGGTTTGAATAATTAAGAGAGTCATTGATACCTGTCCCTAAGTGTATGAAAATATCCAAGCCAATATGATCCAAAACTAAACTGAGAAGCAGGTATGAAATTTGAAGTAATGTTGAAGTCAATTTAAGAATGTCCTATAATGGCAACTACAGAATATGCAAAATTCAACTAATTTCAAAGAAATTGTCGAATGTACAAATCAAGAACTCATAAAGAAACGCCTCGTTGATTAAATGAATGATTTATTATGAGCAAATAATAACAGGAAGGGCATTATGTATCCAGCAGCATTAGTAGAGGAGCAGCCACCTACTTAAATGTGGGCATTTCAACTTAAAAGAAGTTTCGAAGAACCCTGGAACTTTTGGCATAAGATGTGCTAATCCTAGGCACCCCCAGAACCGACAAGGGCAAAATTAATTTAATTAAATTAATTAATGTACTAGTTTTGAAAGTGTTATTTTCAGGTCGAACCCAGCTAATGAGAGCTGATAGGTATAAAACCGGTCCTGGGTGTTCCTGAACCTCTCAAGATCTATACTTACTTATACCGGGTGTATTAAACATTGTTTCTGAATACCTACTGCATTCAGTATGGTTTCAAAAATCAAATGGTTATCTGTTTTAAGTTTTTAAGAGCATAGTTTAAAAACTAACCACAGATACGCTGTAACTCCAAAATAGTTGCCAAAAATATTTACCCAGATGCTGATTCTTCTTAAAACTATGGAATCATAATTTTTTTATTAAATAATTTTTCCGAAACGAAACTGTGTATAAACTCCTGAGAAACTTTGCAATGTTTTATTTGAACTTTTGTCACATTATCATCGAACTACTCTAAAATGTTGCTTAAGAAGAAAGTTGAAGGTGCATCTTGAGTAGCCAATATTTTTGAGAAATGAGACGAAAACTCTAAAAACTTCTCTGTGCCTTCTAAGTAAACTTCAATAACCTCTTAAAAGTAATGACGCCAGTTTTCAATCACGCTGTATTGTGTTAACTTGATAAGTATTATTCATTTAATTTGGACCATTTCCTGCGACTGCAAAACCTTCAACCTTGCACACTATGACAAGTACACAAAAACCAATATGTAAAATAATGAAACTTTTTCAACACTCAAAAAATATAAAATATTTATTTCCAACTATTAGTAATTGATTGTCGACTTTCCTGGCAATAAGAGGAGAACCTATTTGATTCTGAAATTATAACAATAAAATGATCAACAACAATCCTTCAAATGAAAAATAGCATGCAGTTTCTTCAGTTCAATAATAAATTAATTGTCGACACGTAGACAAGTAACAACGTGACAGAATTTATTGCTGCTGCACAGCTTGTGTATTACCTCTGGCCGACTCGTTCGAAAAACTTGAGAAAATTACGAGAGTTTGAGATCATTTAAATGTCGTCACTCGTGGTACACAACATTGCACGTTTTTTCCCAAAGACTTTAAAATGTCCAACAAGTCTGCCGATCCGCAGAACTGGTTCTAATTCATTCGGCAGTAATGTCAACAAATAAAAACTTAATAAGAGTGGCTTCTGCTATAAAAGCCGCGCTATCGACCAGAACCCTCGTAATATAATACCTCGGCAAACTGTAAATTATAAAGAAGCCATTACAGGACTGGATGTGATCTTGTTCTTTTTTGTTCTTCTTTTGTTGTTGTTCTCGTATACCTGTTATGCGACTGGTGAGTTGACCATCAAATTCAGTGGCGGCGATACATATCAAATTTGCTGTTAAATGCAAATCTCCTCGAGTTCCAAATATATTTATAGCACGAAAATTACTATAGGTAGATACTTGAGATTTTGCAGAAATTATAGATAAGAGCGACTAAATAATGACGCACAAAACGAAAAGGCGTATATGGTGTTAAGTCAATGAGAAAGGCAAATGTTACTAAAATACCGTAAGAAACGCTACCTACAGATCAACGTTTGTTCGTAAATTAAAAATTAAAAATTATCATTAGGCCAACATACATGGCGGCGCAACGAAGATCACAATTTTATTCAATTGCTGGCTGTATTGTTACATATTATTGTATTCTCGAATATATTTAACATTGTTTATCACAGTAGAATTAATTTTTTTGATTTTAAAGGATAATTTTCACACACATTAACCAACATTTGAAACAGCGTTAATTTCCGTTTACGGTTAGGTAATCTTTTGTAGCGACATTTATAATTTGCTTTTTATTTAGTATCTTTGATGAAAAAAGAGTTAAAATACAATTTTCCTCTACAAATATACTTTGGAATTTCTATGGAATTCTAGAAATATAAACGATTTATTGGTCTCCCTCTTTTTCCCACATTACAGGTATCTGACAATTATTATACTTTTTTGCATTAATTCCGTTTACGAAATATTTGATATAAATCCATCAAAAAAAAAATAACATGGCTATAATGAAGAATGTTTTAGTAATTTCCATATGCACATTAACGTGTCTTCTCACTGATTATTCATAATTAGTGTAACCGTTCTGCGACTGTGGCTTAAAGTTCCTTTGGACATTTAGACAGTGAAGAAAAAATAGTGAAAAAAAAAACACTCACCTAAAACCGGAACTAAAATTGTGAAAAAAATACTCACCTAAAGCCTGAACCTTCTGATAATGAAACGGATGAAGTTGTTGTTTCTTTAACCCCTCGTGCACTGAACTTTTTGGAACATTTTGCTGAACGCTAATTGATCTTACACTAGGAGTTTTTAAAACCCTGTATAGACATAAAATGCAAGATATTTTCATTGAAAAATAAAAACGGATTTATCAAAGAACATGTTTTTTGATACATTCAGATCACTTTTCTACAGCTAAAGAGACTGCAGATCGTTCCGTTTAGCAAGAAGTTGTTGACGGAGAACGGATTCTTAACATGATGGAAAGTAGTCACTCTTAAATTTTACATATATGAATTACTTAATGTGTCTTTTTACTTCAGCACAGAATTCACAAATGGTTCCCGCATAATTGGATATTCACATTTTTCAAATAAATGCAACAACATATTTTACTTATTTTTTATTTTCTATATGCGGCCCTGCCATTGGTCAAAGAGCAGGTTTCATTTAAACATTTGGGTTTTCGCTTCATGCTTCCTAGATAATTGACAAATCCTTACTTTTACACCTTTTTCCAAGTCTGTAGCTTCAAACCATCAAAGCTTTTTAGGAATGGTTGATTTTACCCTGCTAATTAAAGAGTACGTAAAAGAGGCAAATTCCGATAAAGGATAAAGAGCTTTTTTGACATGTGGACAGTTATAAGTAGAGCATGGGTGGTGCCCTAAAATTTCGTGGATAAATTAATAAATAACAGTAACATTTTACCTCGGCCCGTTTAAAATGTAATAAATACATATTAATGAACTTCCTAATTCAAACGACACCAGCATTTATTTCCTCATTTCCTCCGTATCGGAAACTACTATCCTTGTCAATGGCAATTATTGCGGGCAGGTACATGCTTCGATAATAGCAGCCGAACAACTGCCAAAAACCTGGGAACATGTTAAATTACCCAAGTGTAATTGACACTTTTCGATGATAAAATTAAGTGGCTTTTAATATATATGATACATTTTTCCACCAGTTTATGTGCCCCCTATCACAATGGGACAGGAAATATACACGTTTTTTACAGTTTCGTAAAGCATTTGTCTCAGTTTTTACACAAGAACTTTTTAATTTGTTTCTGGGTAATTTTACAGCTATTGTTTGTTGTACGCCATTATGTTTCCATTAATGGAAAGTAGTATTTTGAATGACTCCCAAATATTCTGCTTCGTTCAACTTAAATTTGTTGTGTGAAGAAAACGCAATGCTACGGACTATGAATAGTGCTGTAAAATTACTACGCTTATACTTTTGGATGCACTTAAAATGTTTAATTCAACTTAACAGAAAGAACAACGGCTTATATGAATACACATCATTATAAACTACTCAGCTTTAAAATATTTCCATGCTGCAATTTTGTTTCTGGACGTAAAAACTTAGTTTTTAAAAAACGTTTATTTTTACAAACCAAAAATAGATTCTTTCAACAGCGAACTAACCACCTTAACTGCTAACTTAAGACTAATTTCCTCATGTCGAATGCGCAGCTTATATAGTAATTAAATGCTGCATCGACAGTTATTGATTAAAATACACAGTGGTCTGCGTAAGTGGTCATATAACTCTGCACTACAAGAAAAAAACTTTTTAACAATCAGTATTGAATTGATGGAAATAACTATGTTGTTAAAATTCACTGTAATTAAAGTTCTCAACATTTCAATTTGAGAAACCAACAGATATTTAGTAATTTATTTTTTTTATTTTTATTTTATTTATTTAGTAATTTATATTTAATAATTTTGTAGTTAGAGTCTAATTCCGAACAAAACTCAAACTGCATTTTGTGCAACTTCATATAGCTGATCGTTCAATCGGCGTTTTCAATATTCTGGCGTGACTGACAATATTTCAATCATTAGAGCGAGTATGATGTGAGTGCTAAAAATCTCATTAAACCTTTTCGTGAAAGTCAACGGGAGTGCTAAATAAGATCCATGTTAATAAAAATGTAAATACTAATTGGCGTTTATCTGGCCTCATCAAGGATACGGTATTAAGATTAACCGCATATATTTACATGAAATTTCTTTTTTAGATTCGAGATGGTTTCACTATGTAATTTGACGAGTGATGACTCAAACCATTACCGGCTAATTTTTTAATGACTAGTTCAACTTGCACATCTAAATAATTTATTAAGGAGCTAATTGTTAACTGATGATTCTCACCTTTAGAGAAAAAATGCAAAATTGAGTGGTACAGTGTAGATTCAGCTTCTTGATTGTTTTCAGTGAAACCGTAAACGGCGCATGCGCTTCACACTATATTAATGAAATTATTCACCACTGAACGAGAGTGAGTTATAACCGACTTACCTATCATAAATTTTCATGTAAACGGCTTTTCATGCCTTTTAGAGCGGCCATTACTTTAATCACTTTTTGTCCCCATTACGAAAACGATAGCAATCGATATCCTGATGAATTTCGCAAACGAAGTCTCGTTATGTTTGCTTGCAAATAATGAATTTACAATGATAGTGCAAGAATATTGAAAAGTTTAATTATGGCCGAAGTATTTCGAGGGGTTTCAATTTTAATTGGTAATTTTAAGTCAAAACAAAAAGTTTTGGGTTAAACGGTTAAACAATGACCGGATATACAGGGTGACTCATTCAAAAAGGACCAATCGAATATCTCCTAAATCATAGCAAATGCAAGAAAATGTTGTTTATTTTTCGGCCCACACGAAGAACAAAAGCGGATGACGGTTTCATAAATTTTCATACACACCATCTTGTAAAGCTCGAAAAGGGGCTGCATCATTCTCTCAGCTGCATATTTTCTTACACACTCTGTATAATTGTGAATCTTTTATCAAGTTTTTACGTGTTTATCCCCTTAAAATATGACCATTTTGAAACAACCGGTTAAGCGTTAACTTACTTAACTCTATCATTGGAAGACAACAGTCACAAATTTGATTACATTTGGAAATAGCACCTAGCTACATCACGTTTAGGACGGTAATTAAAATAACGAATAATTCGGCTGATGCATTATTTCGGGGTAAAAACTAGTGTCCAATTCTCTAAAGTAGGGACAATGCGCACCTTTAAATGTAAGCAGACACTTTCACATTTACGGAAATAAGCAAGCAACGAAAAATGGGTTAAAAAGTTTTAAGGCGTTACTGAGAGACAATTTTTCAAACTCAAATCCTGTCTAATTTTCGAACAACAAATCAAGTCAATACATAGGTAATCATCTAACGTCCGGTTAACTAAAACCTTTTTTTGCTGGTTAAACCCCTAGTTTAAAAGATATGCTATTGCTAATGAATTAAAATATGACTAGCCGTAGAACTGCAAGAAAGAGCAAGAAAAGATAACTGCTTTATATTCGGATTCAGACGTTACTTAATAAACGTATTTCTCTCTACCTGAATCCAAAACAACATTATTATTCTTCATATTCCTCTTTCTTGTCTACTTGACCATATGCCACACATGGCGCTCGTAGGCGTGGTTTTCAGATATAGGGGCCCAACCTTACCAAGCTCTTCTGCCCCGTGATGGGTCATTACTGACCGGGAACATTCGTGTCTTGTGATCCAGCGCCGTTTTTATAATGATATAACATCAAGTGGAAATTCTCTCACGTTTCGATTATCTCTTCTTATACATTTTATTTAAGGGTATTTATTCGTTTGTTTATAATATTATCACTTCTGTTCAATTATAAATGTATTCGAAGCGACCATATTGTTAAGTAATTTAAAAATCTGTTATTGTGTATTATTTTTGCTGAAACGAGTCCCTGTTTTTAATAACTTTTATACTTCTGAAAGTCCTCAAGATTGTTTGATAGTTTCAGAATAGAAAAAGTCCCCAAGTTACAAAAATTATTCGACATTAATCTCGTTTTCTTTAACAAAACCCGCCTTTGTTTTCCAATGCCGTCAGTTGAAAATCCGTTATTAATATCTATTCAGCTAAGGTTAGAACTTCAAAAGAAAATATTATTAATAAAATACATACTGATCTACCGAACATAATCAGTATAACTGAGCCAACAATAACGATTTTTAGCTGGTCATTTCATAAAATTTCATAAAAACACATTTCATAAAATATGGTCTCTCTGGGTCATCAGGACAAGCGAGGTTTTTTAAACACACCTTTTTAAATGCCGAATACATCATTTTAATAATTAAAAATTATCAGTACAGGAAGTTATAGATATAAATAATTACTTCCTGATATAAAGATCTCATTGAAATTTACCAATTTTTTGTACTTTTAATTTTGAGTATACACCTTTCCCTGCAAGATCAGTTTTGTCATATTTTCATCCAAATCTCACTTTTTTTAAATTTGTTTATCATCCACCCTGCGCATCAGAAGACTATTCGAAACTGTTAAAATTGAGCAATTACTACCAACAGAAAATGAGTTTATTAGTGTTGTTTTCAATGGACTTCAGAGTATTACGTAAGGCTCCATACAACATACAACTAAATGTATAGGTATTGTCGAACGCTTTAATTTCAAAAGTTTTCTACATATTGAAGACCTTTGGCAAAAAGAATAATTTGCCAGTGTCTTAAAATACAAATTAATGACTTTACTGTGGCACAAATTTCTTACAGAATCGAGAATTTTCTAGTGGGGACGATTTTTTAAATTGTACTTAAATCTCATTGTATAAAAGTTAAACTAAATACTATAGTTTTACTGAAATATTTTAATTTAGTTTTGTTAACATTAGGTACACATGTTTTATTATTATTAAACACAAAATTTATATTTAGTTTTATGTTTTTCTTTGCTGGTTGCTTTCCTAATTTTGTTGAATCATCCCAAGGAGTTACTGCGATAATCATGAAGCGCATGCTGGTTAATATGTAACTATCAAATTTTACGTTTTTAATCTGTGATTAAGATTTATTTATTTTCGTTATGTACAATTTATTATTGGTAGGATAGAGACTTTCGCTCCATCCAATTTATGCTATAATTAAATTTATAAGGAATTTTATAAATTAACTTTTTCCTAGTTTCAATTTTATAATTCAATAATCAAATCTGCTTCCAATAATATTTTGTCATTTTGCATGTTCTAATATTGAATGATTAATATATTGTTGTCTTTGTGTATCTTTATCAAAAGGTTTAGATATAAATAACAAAACGTATGTTGGATTCCTTTCTATTATGCCTTATTTGTAAGTATAAAGGAAGCTAGAAAATTCTTATAATTAAAATGTTCTTTTATGAATAATTTTTTCCTTATTAGAATTTAACTCATTACAAAATTGTTTTTTATTGCTTTGACACCAAGGCATTTCACAACTCCGCTTTGGGCCATCGTGGTTTCATAATATCCGCATATCTGCACATTCTAAAAGGACAAGGAAACAGGTTCGGTTGTAAACGGTAAATTCAAAAGGATTCGTTAAATTTAGGAATTCACTTTTTGAAAATGTCAATATTCTCTACAAAGAATTATTCTTGTATTGTCATCAAAACCTCAAATTCGATGTAAATACAGGGTGATTTAAAATTGGCGTCATTCCTCTGGAGGTGTTGTCTAGAGCTGTTATAGGAGTACAGAAAAATTAGTAAAATAAATTATTTGTTATTAAAAACTGAGAAATTTGCAAAAAACTATATCAGAAATACCGCAGCAATGATTTTTAAGGTAATCTGCCTAATTAACATTGCGCAAATACCGGTGACTTCGTAATTATTTAAAACTCCGGTAACCATGGAATTATACAGATTGACAATAAGATAGACAAGGATAAACGGTAAATTCAACAAAATTTATTGACGAAATGTCAACCTGTTCTCATAACCTCGAATATTGGTGTTTAAAAATAAACCATACAACACCAAACGTTTGAATGGTTAACTCCAAACAAGCTAGTGCCCGTGTAATCTCCTTATTGTACATACTTTCCTGACTGTGTTTCAATTCCAAATCAAAATCAATTCCTGGGCTTCAGTCACTTATTGTCTATTTATCAATTAAAATACGTTTCGGTGTTTTCCACTATCATCAGTTTCTCTAAAATAACAGATAGTAAAAAAAATGTTTTCATTTCATGAAAAAATGAATATCTAATACTATCTGTTATTTTAGAGAAACTGATGATGGTGGAAAACACCGAAACGTATTTTAATTGATAAATAGACAATAAATGACTGAATCCCAGGAATTGATTTTGATTTGGCATCTCCTTATTATCCACTCTTATCAAGCAGCTTCTCGTATTCAGTTAATTAACTCCTGCTCCATTTGTATCTCCTTGTTCTGTGTGTATCGTACAAACGTGGTAGGAATGTAGCCCTTTCTCGGTATTTATTTGGTGCTTGGGAAAGTGTCAGTTATTGTGCTCTGAGTGCCCCTGGAACGCCCTGATTCGGTTATGTCCAATACTTGTTTCTCTGTGCCGGAACCCGAACGTCGATTGTCGTCCACTATCTTTCTGGAACCACTCTCCTCGCTCTTTGTTGGCGTGAGTTCTTTCACCTTCTGCCATGCTACTGTAGCATTTCCCCTGAACTAATAACATATCGGCAAATTCGT